CCCGAGACCCCTTGCCCGGCAGCCGCACTTGCAACCACTCGGCCAACGAGGCAGGATACTTACGAAAATAGAATAAATTGTATATTTTCGCGTTTTTCTGATATCACCAGAAATGTTTTGTAGACCGCACTGACTGTTAGTTTTCTTGTAACAAAACTGATCGGTAATGTAAGAAAGAGATAGTCTACTATTGACATCAAAAATCTCAATAGTACCTACTTACTTTGCTCGAGGGTCAAACCATAACCTTGTGATTATCAATCGTACCACTTTCTCAATCCTTATTCTTTATCCGCAAAAAATGCAGCGTCATGTCTCTGTCTGTATGTCAGTATGTTTAATCTTAAGTATTGCTTATCTGTATTATGTCATATAGTTTTTGAAGTCATCGTTAGATTGCATTGAAGTCAAGTTGCTATTTGCAATTAACATAACATAACATCATGCCTATTATCCCCGAAGGGGTAGGCAGAGGTGTACATTATGCCACTGTACAATGTAACACCCACTTTTCACTATTTATGTTATGAGTCCCATGTAATATGGGGTGAACCTATTGCCGTATACCGGGCGCAATTCCAGACCCCGTGCTACTAGTGGGATTTTTTTTGAAAAACCCGGTAATACTTTGCCCGACCCGGGAATCGAACCCGAGACCCCTTGCCCGGCAGTCGCACTTGCGACCACTCGGACAATGAGGCAGTCACTAATATCTAGTAATGTTTGTCTAGTAATGTTTGACTGCCTTATTGGCCAAGTGGTCGCAAGTGCGACTGCTGGGCAAGGGGTCCTAGGTTCGAATCCCGGGTCGGGCAAAACATAACTGGGTTTTTTTAAATAACATATCAGTAGTTGGACGGAGTCTGGAATTGTGCCCGGTATATGGCAATAGGCTCACCCCCTATTACATGGGACTCAAAACATAAATAGTGAAAAGTGGCTGTTACATTGTACAGTTGGCATTAAATGCCGTAATGTGCACCTTGGGATAAAAGGCGTGATGTTATGTTATGACACTTTTGTTTCTTTTTTGTCTACACGTGAAGATAAGACTAATTAAATAAGTCTAAGTAAAAAGTAGTATTCGCAAAGAAGATTTAGCAGATATCGTAAAACCGAATCTTTGAGCAAATATTTGCAAAGATAAGTACTATTTAGTGGTACTGTGGAGGTTTTATCATCAAATAGTGTAAATCCACTTGTCGTAGCTTCTTATCAATATTTATATTTGCACTGAAGATGTGCACTCGTTATATAATAGTGGTCTTAGTTAGAAGGTCGTAATGTTCTGTTTTAGCTTTCTAAAACTCATAATACTCATATGCTACTGAATTCAGTAACAGGGAATATCATAATTTTGTAAAAAAAAATTATCATTCACGGGACCACAGGGTCATTTAGGAGGTGTACAAGGGGCCAAAGCCCACTACGCAGTTGCCCTTTAGACAACTTTAATCTAAATGTAATGGACACACAAACCGGCGACTATCCCTGTATGCACTATGGCAATGTACCCAAGGACAGTCCCCGGTTAGTGTAGGACTATTTTAGATAATGGAAAAAAGGATATTGTAATATTCATTACCTTCCCTTGGTTGGTACCTAATCCGCGAGTAAAACTGTGATTTTACCCATCTGGCTTTTATTTCATTCTTATAGATGACTAATTTTTATTTTAATGTCCGTCTGGTAGATTATTTTAAATCATTAGACAAGTATTTTTTATTTTCTTACAGAAACGAATACTTTCGACGATATATTGATTTGAAATGTCGCGTGACGTCACTTCTATGTACATTTTATTTGTAGAAATGACGTTTTAGTCCCCACTCTTAAACTCTGATTCGTTTTATCTAAGTATTGTTTTATTATACGACATTTTATTATACACAATATAAATACGTGTCTAATGTTTTTACCCGACTGCCAAAGAAGGAGGGTAATGTTTTTACATAAGATACCTAACTTATGAACTAATTAGATTTTTAAATTTCATACCCTTTAATCATCCCAATTGTATGATGAGCTAAAAAATACATTTAATACAGAACGAATGAGGTAATATTACTTTTTATGTACCTTCAAAGATTAATAAAGAGATCAGTAAGACATTTTTTATCAGTCTATATGAAGCTCATATAATATTTATTGAATTTACAATAAACATTCATTGCATCGTTAAAGTTATTAACTCAGTCTCTATTACATAATTTAGATTAAATTAATTGCCTGGTCACCTCAATAAATTGTCTACATGTCAGAGATTATTTTTTAATAATGTCTCGGCAACTAAACTCGATTCTTCTTACAATAAAAACAGACGGATTGAGTGACCTCCTCCTTTTTTAAATCAGTTCAAAATAGAGAAGATGACCTTTATCAAGGGCCGTCTGATACTAAATGGTGGATTGTTAAAGATTGTTTATTTTAAATATTCCATGATGTTATTTATATACATGTATAACTTCACGCCTGTCTCTCGTGGAGGTACGCAAAGACTATGGAACGCCAATTGGTATGATTCCTACATACATCTTGCTTCATCAATAGTCAACTTCTTCATACAAAATGTTGTTAATATCATTCCTCCGGGGTCTTTCAGCCACTATTAGAAAAATGTAATTAGCTTTGTTTGATTGTTTTTTTTTTTATATTTCGACAATACAAACAATTCTTTTATATTTTAATTACTGACGGACTTTATTCTTTTTATACCTTATGCCATTCATTACCCATATGAGAATCTTGTCTTATTCTGTCCCTTTGGGGATTTCATTTGATATTGAGTTCCAAAAGAATTTCATTGCAGAGTCATAATTGTTTTGGAATCGGTATCATCTAATATAATGGTGTGTATACATCTGGCGAATGTGCTGCTCGCGAGCATTCTGCGAACAGCGTTCGTGGTCGGAATTAATATGACAAACATGCACCTACAGGCGCGCCGTCGGCGTATACGATGGATGTGGACGCACCATAACAGTGACCTTTGTTTAAATTAAAGACTTTATTTATTAAACAGGTCGCTTCGAACCCGAAATAGTCTCACGGACGAAGATGTTTGTTTTTTATTGTCTAGACATAATTATAAAAACATGGGAAAATAGGTTCCCTCCTGGAGTCTTACCATTGTTAGGGCGCTAAAGAATGTTGTTATAAGTTAAAAATATATTATGATTATACTAAGTTAAAACATTTATTGTTTTCAAGCATTGGTCATCAGTTGAGTCAAGATTTGTATCAGAAAAATATTTGTTTAGTTTATTGCATAAGATCTATCAATCACCCACTGAAAATTTCGCATGTTCAAAATACTGAGTCCATTCTGGTAATTTAATTTAAAACAATTTCACTGCCGCCTTTGCGATTTCTTTCTTTCATAAATTGCTCCCCTATGTTCTATCACCCATTTTGTTATAACATTATAATTATAATTATAATTACTTATGCCATATATGCCAAGTATGCTATATTTTCAAACGATATTACTTCTTTCCCAGGTCCAACGGTTACAAACAGTGAACACATTGGAGCGGTCCCAGAAATGCTTGTGGTGGAGTTGGCCAGTTCTCAGCGTACTGAGTGTGGTCACCTGCATCAGCGGTCTTGGCATCTATGCTGTTTACAAAGACTGCGATCCTTTTGTTAGCCACAGTATTACAGCGGTAAGTTACAGTTTTAATTCTTAGTTGTTAAAGAGAGTTAACGAATAGACGGAACATCTTAAAGCAATTAATATAGGTAAGCGATTAACGCCACCCATAGATACTCGCAACACCAGAGGAGTAACAAAACATTGCCGATAGGTGCTTCAAATATTATTTGGGTCTATTCTTCTCTTAAGATATCTTTTGATTTATTTCGTTGTCGGATCCAAGACTGAGACGCGCCGGACTTTACCCTGTCGGTGTTGTCATGGTTGTATCTACTATATATCCTGGTTTAGAGAAGTTGTAGCAGTTAAGTAAGGTTGATGACACAGCAAAATTTTTACCTTTAACCTTCTCCCAACAGATTGACCAGTTGATGCCATACTACGTGGTAGATGCAATGAAGAATGTTCCCGGCTTGGCAGGACTCTTCGTAGCTGGCATCTTTAGTGCCTCTCTCTCCACGATCTCTGCATCTTGCAACGCTTTAGCAGCTGTTACGTTACATGACTACGTTGGCAGGTAAGGTTCAATGCAATTTATGAGTTAAGTCTTACAGCTTAAGATGTATTTTGCAATAAATTCTTAATAATGTTTACTTATGAGATTTTTTTCGTTGTTCCTTATCACTTCAAGAGGAAAGCTTAGTCAAAGGTACTTTTATATTTACACGAATGAATTTCTTGTTTTTTCGAATGAGTAGTTTTTGTATGTTAGTAACGTATTGTATTCTTATATTTTTTTTTTCTAGATAAAGTACTTAATATACCAGTAGCGGTTGTAGCATGTATTACTTACACATTATTTAAAATCGAATCAGTATGCAGTTGCTTGACCTTATTTGCACTGACCTTACTTCCTCAGTGATTTGAACCATTCTAGATACATGCACTTCAACACTGTGCAACACCACATTTCATTAACATCCATTTGTATAGATGAAATCATTTTATCACCCATAATTTGATCTTCTTCATTCCTGCAATTATTAAAATAATCTGACTTCCACACAGATGGTGCAAGGTTCCTGCGTCCTACGCACCCTGGTTAACGAAGCTGGCGGCTTGTGGATACGGTCTAGTGTTCCTAGCTTTGGCTTTCATAGCTGAGTACCTTGGAGGAGTACTGCAGGCTGCCCTCACAATTTTCGGAGCTGTTGGTGGACCGTTGCTGGGAGTCTTTACCCTTGGAATGTTTACTACGTACGCTAATGAAAGGGTTAGTACGCTGGCTATTATTATTATAGATAAGTAATGCAGAAGGCCTTTTATTTTACTTTTATCCGAAAGTAAATGAGCGCAATCAAATTTCCTTTCCACCACTTACGTTTTCATATCCAAGTAATAGGAGAAAGCCGTTCGATGTAGATTCCATACTTACTGAGAATTACATAACTCGTCGAGTACCGGTTTTGTAGACACAATTATAGAACAATAGGTTGCGGTCACCGGTGACCGCTTGGTGTTTGACAGTTTAATACGTATAATGAAAATTGATGATTTCAAGTACCACATTTTAGATTGCTTTAATATTTTGTGTCATACGTTTTCCTGGCAATTCACCTCTTGTTTTGTTAAGATTGACTTTATTTTACATAACATAACATCACGCCTTTTATCCCCGAAGGGGTAGGCAGAGGCGCACATTACGGCACTTAATGCCACTATACCTCTACAATGTAACACCCACTTGTTCACTATTTATGTTATGAGTCCCATGTAATAGGGAGTGTGCCTATTGCCATATACCGTGCACATGTCCAGACTTTATTTTAGTGATTACTTATTAGTTGATTTACGTAATAATACTTGACATTCGCAAACAATTCGACCATAAAACTTTAATGCTGTGTAACTAAACTTATTCTGTTTTCTCTCTTTCAGGCAGTGTCCGTAGCTCTACTAAGTGGAATGGCAATGACGCTTTGGATAAGTTTCGGAGGCCCGCGACCTCCAGTTACCAAGCTACCTCTCAGTGTTGAAGGGTGTGGCTTCTTCAACGTCACGCAGGCGGCTGTTGCACCCACCACCAACCCCAGTGATTACTTCTACCTCTACAGAATATCTTATATGTGGACCAGTCCGGTGAGAAATGATTGATTTTTTTGGTGATGTGTTTTTTAGTTGTATTTGTATTATATTATAGTTCCTTTTTGATTTTTATTTGAAACTGGCGGACTGTCTGTACCTTTTTTACTTTTTTAAAAGTATTTTTTCATTAACAATATATGTTATTATTTACTTCTATCCAGGGTTAAATAAAATATAATGATTATATAGATGCATGAAATTGTGTTCAACCTTTAGATGCTACAATTGGTTTAATGCAAAGATATAAATTGATTTTCAGTCTACACGATTATAAAATTTGTACCGAATCAACGCATTTAAATTAGATTGCATAATGCGACATGTAGATCGAATCGATTTAAACTACTTTTGACCAGATTAATCAAGTTTTTTGTTTTGTTTTCTTTACAATGTATACAGATTATGTCAACTTACTGCAATTATGCGAAAAGTTAATTTGCTAGTTTATTTATCTTTGATGGGGTAAACAGCAGCTGTAGCCAAATGCCACTTAGAGCTTGTCTACTTGCAGAGTAGAAAACTAAATTATATGGAATTGACGTAAATTTTGACACGTTGTCAGTGTCATCCCTATATATTTTCATTTCTACTCTTTCTGTAGACAAGCACTAAAGTGGCGTTTGGCTAAAGACGTAGAGATACAGTGTGGTCATGGGAGTTTTGAAAATCTAACATCATTTTGGTTGAGTCGAACCCGAGACTTTCTAAACGTCCTTCACATTTGCGACAATTTTACTAACTAGCTAAAAATACATGTTAACTAACTTTTAATTATATATTTTCCGATTCCAATACTATATTTAAATGACATCACACACTTATTGAAGTAGTTACTGCGTAGGAATATGTATTAAGAATGTATTTATGTATTATCAGTCACATGTGTATGAATGAGCTCACGGTCATAAGGTCAAAAGGTTGAGAAGTATAGATGTAAGATTATTGTGTAACAGATTGGGAATCTGTGTGTGACGTGAACTTTATCTATGACGTTTGGACAGGAAACTAGGAATATATGTTGCGATAAGTTGGGTATGTTTCGGTCATCTCAAAGTCAAAACAGATATATGTAGGTGTGTTTTTTGTGGTGTTATGTAAGTATTATGTATATGAACGTTTAAAAAGATTCAATTATACTTTATTTTTCGTTCATTTTCTTTACGTAGACAGACCGTCAATCGTCAAAAGGTGTTTATATCTTTCCGTAATAGTATAATTTAGTATGATATTATTTGTGTTTATGTAACTTAAAGTATTTATTGCAAAAATATTTATTAACCCGTCGTTTGCCGGAACGTAGATCTACGCCAGACACAATGCATTTTCTATTGTGTCTTATATACCGGCAGTCAAGAGGTTAAACGATTCTTGTGTTAACTCTGAAAAAGTAATCAGAGCCGAATTGCCTGGCTATTTTAACTTTCTATCGATCCACCGATTTCAACGAAACATTTCTCTATATATTTGCCAACATTGACTAAATAGTTTTGACTTCTAAACGTCTCCATAATATTACAGATCGGTTTCATCTGGGTGATCGTGGTAGGGACGGCGATATCCCTATTATGGCGTCAGAAACAGCCTTGGGAAAAGCAAGGCCGCTCACACCCGGACCCAGAACTCTTCACACCACCTTTAGCCAACAGGTTAAGGGCCAGACATGAAGAGAAACCTGCAGTGCAGGTAACAAAAGAATAACATTGTATTGCATGCAGAATGGACTGGCTTTTTTGGCACCAGCAGAGTGATATGCATGACTGCTTGTAGTAATATAGACGCTTGTTAACAAACTCTTAGGAGCAAAGAAATGGGGCCACTAACGCCTTTTGTTTTTTATTTCTTGATAAATATTTTTAATACAAATATTTTACTAATTGTTAACGTATGCATAAAAGGTAATTTAGTTACCTTTTAAATGAGAGTAGTATAGTAGAAATAGTGTTATTAGAGAAAGGCATGAATTGAAAGATGATGTAGTTACAAGAATTGAAAAGGGAATGTTATTTATTTATTTACACTTTGTTGTACATCATAAAAACAAATATACAGAGAAAAAAATGTGTTCAACGGGCGGTCTTATCACAGAATGCGAATGTTACGCTGGTTTACACATGTAGAAGGATGGACGAAAGTACAGTAACGAAAGAAGTATACAGAACGGATATGAATGGGGCCGTCGGTAAGGGCCCCTAGATGGACATATACTGACCAGATTGGCGATATACTAAAGAAGGGCTAAATTAAAAATACTCTTAACCGACGAGTATGCATAAAAAGACTGATAACTGTTGACGAAGCGAAAGAGGTATGTAAGAATCGTAGCAATTGGTGTTCCATAGTCTCTGCCTACCCCCATTAATGGGAGGCAGGCGTGAAGTTATGAATGTTTGTTAAAATGAGAGTATTTTGTTTTATAAGGAATACTTTTTTAAAGTTAAAGAGTAAGTTTCTATAAAATGAAAAATAAAACTAGTGGCTTCGTTTCTATGCTCCCAACTGTAGTTATATGTATGTAGAATTTTTGGGATCTTTCTGAGGCCTTAGTACGAGTTTGATTTACGTTTAAAGTATGCGAGAGTTCGGCGCTCTGATTGGCCGGTGCTAATAAACCAACCAATCAGATGCCTTAGTACGGGTTTGTTTTACGTTTAAAGTATTCGAAACGAGTACGCGTTCGGCACTATGATTGGCCGGCGCCAATGAAGCAACCAATCAGAGCGCCGAATGCGTACTCGTTACGATTACTTTAAACGTAAATCAAACTCGTACTAAGGCCTCAGAGCGCCGAACGAGGTCTCGTTTCGATTTCTCTAAACGTAAAAGAAACTTGTACTAAGGCCTCTGAGCTTTGTATATGGGATTATTTTGAGGGAGTTATCTTTTGGGATACTATTCTATTTGGAAAATTTGGGTAGAAGGTTAATAAGATATAGTCATACGTCTATTATGTAACAGTAAAGCCTTGTAAATATTACTGACTATGCAATTTGAATATTGTAATAATAACAAACTTAAAAGGAAACGCATAGCTATAAAAATATTTTTGTTTCATACTATATTTAGTTATTGTAACAGTTATTGGCTTGCACATTAGGTCTAATTACTGTAAAAATACGATTAATATTCATAGTCATATTCATATCTTTATTTGCATTCTATAATGTTTCTTAAGATGTTACATTGGTTTGAAGCTAGGCAATTATGGACCCTGTCGGGCACAGCAAAATACAAAGTTTAAATTTTAGAATATATTCCTAGGCTATTGACTTACCACGGTATGATATTTTCAGTATTACTAATTTTCTAACGAAATTTAGATTAAATTACTGCGAATATCCTATAATGCACCTAATTTGCTGTTTTTGCAAATATCATTAAGAGCTTCCATTTATTTCATTAGTTCACGGATTTCTTTTTGTAATTGGGTAGTTTCCAGGGTATCAAAATTAAAAATGTAATTAGTCCGTCAGTTAGATAATGAAAAAATATTAGACACGTATTTTTTTATTTTCTCGCATTAAGTTGCAATACTTAGATGAAATAGCGCTAAGTTTAGGAGATGGAGGTTGTTACGTCACAACGTGCTACAAAATGTGCCACGCTGTGACGTCACACGATATTTCAAATTAATAAATATATCGTCGAAAGTATTTAATTTTGTGAGAAAAGAATAAATACGTGTCTAAAGTTTTAAATTAATGTACCAGACGGACATTAAAATAAAATTTAGGAAACTACCCTAGTTACTACTCTTTAGTTTTCATCATTTTCAGTAGTTTAGTTTATTTTCTAGATGTCATCGAGTGAGCTTTGAGCACTAAGCGCATTTCTTGTTTGAGAGCTGCAAGGTTTGTACATTGCGTTAATATTTTTGTTTAATTTGATTCAATGTTATTGCACGCCAATTTGTCATATTGCATGGGGGTTGATATAGACGTATTACGATTTGGGCACCCATTGTAATGGCAGTTAACAATTGTTTTGGCAAGTGCTAAACTACTTAATAAAACAACTTTTTTAAATGACAATTAGAAATGTTTTAGTCATTCTATAGGTACATGGCTTAGCTTTAAATATTGGGGCATTAACGTTTTTAAAAAAATGAAATGAAAAACTTTCGATTGACTGCCTTGTTGGCCGAGTGGTCGCAAGTGCGACTGCCGGGCGAGGGGTCTCGGGTTCAATTCCCGGATCGGGCCAATTATTACTGGGTTTTTAAAAAAATTCTCAGTAGTAGCATGGAGTCTGGAATTGTGCCCGGTATATGTCAATAGGCTCACCCCCTATTACATGGGACTCATAGCATAAATAGTGAAAAGTGGGTGTTATAATGTACAGTGGCATAATGTGCACCTCTGCCTACCCCTTCGGGGATAAAAGGCGTAATTTTATGTTATGTGAAATGAAAAAGTACTTTTATAAATTATAATTGTCCAAATTGGAATACGTTTACAAAGGGTAAGTTTCCTCAATCATTAGACAATCTTTATCTGAGTGTTTTTCAGTTGTACCATCCTTTTTGCGTATACTCTTTTGTTAAAATGATAAAAAAAATAATCTAATAATGATTGAGGAAACCAGCCCTAAGTAAGTAGTTGCACTAAATTGGGATCTTTTTATTGGAATTTAATTGGCCTGAAATCATTTAGATTTAGTTGCATGCGAGTGTATTATTATTTATTCATAGTAATTTAAAAAATTATATGCTATTGTTTAATTACTATTGTCATAATTATAGATTATAATTAACTAACGTATAAATATTATTGTAATTTATGAAATTATCCAGTATTATTGAAGGGTCTCACCGGATTGGATTTGTATTTAAATTTAATACTCTGTTAAATTAACATTATTTGGATTTAAATTATATTAAAAATAATACTTACGTTTTTATTGTGTGTGCGACCGAGCGAGTCGCACAGTTTATTAAGAGTCCCGGTGTGGTTCGAAACTTATTGGGCATCTTGAAGCAGGTTTGTATTGCGACTATAAACCATCATATTTAAAAAATAATTCTATGTGCCCTAATGTAAATTAAGAAAAGTGCCATTTTTTAAACGAATCGTTATTATAATATTTTTTATTAAATTTGCAGTGTAAACTGTTACAATCGAATGGCGTTCAAGATTGATTTACCAACTGTACTTACTTACGTATTTATTTAAGTAGACAATTTTTTATTTAAGTTATTTTTTTATATAAAATACCTATATAATTACAATGATTGTGATTCTTACTTTAATTTTGTTCGCGTTGCTTTATGGTACATTCCTAGCTTACCAATATACGTTTGGTGCCCATGGCTACGGTAATATTAACGGTTCTGTCACAAATCTTATGGGGAAATATTTTTCCTAAAGCCTAAAGTTTTGTAGTACTAATTGATTGTACGGTTGGCGCGGTGGCTGGGCAACTGGCTGCCGCGCAACGTGTCGCGGGTACGATTCCCGCACGGAACAACTCTTTGTGTGATCCACAGATTGTTGTTCCAGGTCTGGGTGTCATGTGTATGTGAACTTGTATGTTTGTAAACGTACCCACGACACAGGAGAAAATCCTAGTGTGAGGCAACATTTTTATTAAAAAAAAAACAAAACTATGGAAAAAATATCTATTCGAAGATTTAGTTGAAGAAGTTTTTAACCGAAGCACTAATACGCAATGTGGGAAGACTGCTTCGTACTCTGTGGAGCAGTTCTATGGTTTATCAAGCAGCTTTATCTATTACATATTGGGCCTATTCAATTGGTCCTACTTCTAGTGCTATGGACACCAAAATTATATTGACGAATAATACAAACATGTTGGATCAATATTTTTATACAGCTCATACACTTTATTCAACAGATTATAATTATATTTATTTTTTCACATAAATTCATAGAACTAATGATCAGTGTTTTTGAAAGATAATCAACTGTCAATAGTTTTATATTCATGGTATTTATTTTAAATGATTTATCTAATCTGGTAATAAAAATGCAATGATGTTGTTTTTTCTAATTGTTTGGTTTTTTCTCTCTTTTTTCAAAGATGTTGTTGGATTATGAACTTCTAAATTAGTATTAAATTAGTAATAAATAATTTATAAAGGATTTAGGTATCTACTTATTTATTTGAAGAAATTAAAGTTATTTAAAATTAACCAATATTTTGTTGTTTAGTCTCTACAATTGGACGCTCTGTGAATCTATACAATTTAAGAAGACGACATTTTAAAAATTGTTTTATAAGAATAATTTTATATTCATAATGTTTTATGGATTTTAAATTAAAATTGACACAATTGATCTACCATAGATAATAAAATAAATAAATGTTACCAGACTTAAAAATGAGCTCAATACTAACACACGTATTTTAAGAAAATTGATGTTAATTTAAAAGTATTTGAGACCAGGGAGTGGTCACTTAAATAGAACGGTTGGCAATAGGCAATGGGTCCGCTGGTATTAGGACAAGGCCGTTGTTGTGTAATGGGACTAAATACCATTGGATTAATAGGATTTTAAAATAGAATACCTCTGACTTGTTATTAAAAAAAAAGTAATGAAGACCAATCTGGCCTTAAAAACTTAGTAGGAAGGTTCAGACATTTGCGCACCAAGTTACACTAATCAGTTTAATACATTTTTATCTTTGTTACTATTGTGATACAACTGAAAATGAATTGACAGGATGGGTTAGCTTGATGTGCCGGTGTATGTACTTTATGGTAGATGCTGTGTGCCCGTAGTTCATGTAATATCAAGTATAATCAAAAAATATTTATTGAATGTTTTATATAGAAATAAAAAAACATGTTATTCTACTGTTTTGTAAGAACTATGTGTTCATGAGATGTGTCTGTGTGTATTGTAGGCGTTGATGGAATTTTAAGAGTATGGACAACTTTTTTGAAAACACTTAATTTCGACTATAATTTTATTTACATTTTTATACTGCTTTTGAGAATATTTTCATACATTGTTTTTTCAATTCAGTTGCTTACGTGTAAAAAACCAAATATTTACGTATCTATACATACAAGTTAGTTTATATAATAAAATATCATGTTATCAAAGGGCAAGATATTTTGTCGTATTACATCAAATCAACATAATATTATGACGTCATAACATATTAATATTATGACCACGAATATGTAAAAGGTTTGTTAAACAACAAATAACACGTTTGACGCAATTTGTCTTCCATATTGTTACTAAGCTTCGCGTATTGTTGATAATATAATTGTTGCATTTTAGAAATGTATAGTTTAGGTCTAGTATTAACTTAGTTTTATGCACAATGCAGATTTTTTGATGGATCATTTTGCTATGTAAACTTTTTACAGTGATTCCAAGGAGCAGATATTTAAGTAGTCGATAAAAATGCTTATATTACTTACATATATGAAATGGGTTAAACAGGAATTGTAATGAAAACCACTTAATTACTTACCTTATTTGTTCCACATTGCTACAATGTGCTATGATAAAAATATTGTGCTATCAATATATAAACTATGCTAACAATATATAACAAAAATGTGAGCAAAAATTTTCATAAAAAAACCAATACTTACGTAGTAGAAGTTGAACCGAAGGTTAAACGGACCTTTTTGTTTTATTAGTTTTTGTTTTATTGAAACATTATTTTGTTAGGGTTGTACCTGTGTCGTTGGCCAAGTGGTCACAAGTGCGACTGTCGGGCAAAGGGGACTTAGGTTCCATTCCCAGGTAGGGTAAAGGATTACCTACTGGGCTTTTTAAAATGTTCTTCGTAGTAGCACGGAGTTTGAAATTGTGCCCGATATAAGGCAACAGGCTCACCCAATATTACATGGGACTCATGACATAAATAGTGAATAGTGCGTGTTACATTGTACAGAGGCGTTAAGGGTCGTAATGTGCACGTCTCTGCCTACCCCTTCGGGGATAAAAGGCGTGATATTATATTATTTAGTTAGGGTTTTTCAGTTTAACTTATTTGGGCCACAAAAAAGGGCACTTTGGCTTTCAAATAATTTTGGCCTACAACTAAATTTCTCTAGCGACAGATTGCAAATTAAAAAAATAAAAAACGAAACGAAACGGCCCTTTAACCCTTTAAGTACCGTCATTATAGACGCAATTAAAGATCAATAGGTGTGCGGACACCGGCGTCCTCGCGGTATTTGATAGTAGTACATTTAACTCGTCGAGTACCGTCATTATAGACACAATTATAGAACAATAGGTTGCGGTCACCGGTGACCGCTTGGTGTTTGACAGTTTAAAATGTTTCTTGGAATCATTGTTTGAAGTAAAAAAAACTAAATCAAATAAACAGGCTGTGTATATTGCGCGCAAGCACCAATATTTTATAATAGTGATGTTAATTTATATACCACGCTCATTTTTTTTAAAACCGCAATTTTTGTAATTCGTTATTTACAATTTGTGCGTGTAATGAAAAGGAAATAAATACATGATTGTATATTTTTGTTTTTATTCAAAGAACACAAGATAATTATGGAACCTCCTATATTTAATAATTGATTATTATGAAAATGTAACTTATAATACTTTAAGCTGACAGAAAGCCGCCTTTAGGTCGCGTAACATCTTCCAATTGACGTCGTAGGAAGGAATTCTGGAAATAATAAAAATAATAAATGAAAATGTAATTTATCAAGTACAAGATGTATCAATCTGGTCCTTTTTGAATTCTTCTTCTTCGATAGGTTAAAGAATATATAAAAAAGATCTTTGCGGCAACGAAACTAGGACACCGTTAATATTTATATCGCATAGGTGAGAAGATGAGATTTAAGATCTAAATATTAAGGTGTATTGTAAACTTGATTGTAGTTCCAGTAAAATAAAAAAAAACAATAAAAAGATGAGCTCATAATAGCTCACCATTTATGATAATTTTTTTAAATAAAATGGTACTGACTGAGCTTATTTTAAGGAAGATGCATGGTTTATTAATATTAACTCGTCGAGTACCGGTTTTGTAGACACAATTATAGAACAATAGGTTGCGGTCACCGGTGACCGCTTGGTGTTTGACAGTTTAATGCACCTTTATGTAGCACCCGTTCCACATTTTCTTATTAGGCTGTGTCAACACTTTGCTATGTATGAGATTTTGAATCGTGATGTTGTCACGTAGGGCTGTGCTAACACTTTGCTGGGTAAGCATCCGGAAGATAAATTGAAACCAACACAAGATCCATACCATCGTAAGATGATCAGTGATAGTTGGATCACAGTGTGGAGTTACATTATAAAATGTAACTATAGTAACTTTGAAAAAGAGTAACCTATGGAGTTTCTTGCTCGTTCTTCTTCTTAGGAATCTACTCCTTGGAATGAGCAAATAGCTTCACTTTTAATTTTTTGTTGACGTTGAAAAGTGCCTTTCTGGTCTAATTGAAATAAATGATTATGACTTTGACTTTGAAATGAAGTCCTATTTCCTTCTTACCTCTCTCAGCAGTTCGTCCTCTCTCTCGGCGGCAATTTTCAGCATTTCCTTGGACCTTTCTAGAAGTAAATCTTTATCGTGTATAGTTCTCTTCAAGTTCGCTACTTCTAGACGATGAGTTTCTGATTGAAGACGACTCTGGAAGTATGTAAGTAACATGTATCTCTCATCGCACTGACTTCTTTCATTCTTCCTTTTTCATTCAAGCTGTTATTTTGTGGAATGCATTGCCCAAGGAGATCAGAATGGCAACAAGTCGCAATTCCTTTAAATTTAAAGTCCGTGAGCATTTACTTAAGTATTGGCAGACTCAAAACAATTGAGGAAACTATTCTGACAACGTTTTTGTTTTTTTTTTATATATATATATATAATATATTGTAGTATTTATGCAGTAGGTATAAGTATTTGTTTAGTAGTATGTATTATATGGTATGTATATGTCCTATACTGATTTATAAAATATTATATTAATATATTTATTCTATAGGTAATTTATGTGTGTAGTATACATATTACATAACTCTTTTTTATTTTCTCAATTGTGTTCTGGCTTCGCATCAACCACTTCATTTCTCTGCACTTCCCTATGGTTGACTGTAAGAGAATGCCTTAAGGCATTAAGTCCGCCATTCACTTATGTATTTTGTGAAGAAGAAATAAATAAATAAATAAATAAATAAATAACAGCTGTGTAATAATTTAGAATATTTTTCATAACCAAGTCATTATTATATGAAACTAGTGGCCCGCTCTACTTCAAATGGGGAAAATACTAAAATTACGTTGGTCATAAAATCAATTAATGAAAGTGTGATAATTTTTTAATATTTTATCGTATTGAACAGTCGAAATAATTTGTTTTTGATTAAGGAAAGTACTCAATAAGGTATGTGTATTAACCTTCTCCGTATTGCTTCGGCTACTACGACTACTGCTTGGCCTGGAATCACTTCTTTTGTGACCTGACCCTGACTTTTGCTCTGCTTGCAGCTTGTGAATTACG